ATTAACCTGAAATCAAATACTAAAACACATTTTAGGGCTAAATAAATTACACGTTTTGCTTAATATCTCCAAAACAGTAAATTGTCAGTTATGCCCTTTTGCCATGGGAGGGCATAATAATGTTTACATTATTTCTCCTGTTTTATCGTGGAAAAGAATTCCGTGTTTATTTATATATTATATTGCATGCATTTATGGAATATAATCATATACATGCAATAAAATAAAGGTTTTGTATGCCTATATGCCTCAGAATAAAAAAAATTATTGTACGAGTACTTTCGAATCATTCTGCTGATAACCTAACAAGGGAGATAGACCTAACTATGGTCGAATGTACTCTACATTATTCTGAAGCCGATCGATAAAACTTTGATTTCTTATTCATATATGGCTCTGTCTATACAGCTTCTTTATTTCATTATTATATACATAAGCCAACTGTACATACATATGCATACATAGTATGGTTTTAAGGCAAAAGACTGGAAAATGCCGAATATACAAACAATGCGTTATGCATTATATTTTGTATTGCTTATATCTAGGACCGTCATGCAACAGCATATTCCAAACCTGATGCAGACAAATCTGATGATTACGAGCTCCTGTACGGATATGAAGAAGGCGGTAAAACTACAATCGGATTCAAGCGAAAATTAGAAACATGTGACACTGACGACTACGTCATTTCCGTAAGTTTAACAGCTTAATTGTTATTATCAATATAATTTATATTGTCTATTTCTAACACGAAGAAAATATACTAAGCTGATCTAGTGAATCACATGTTAATGGCTTTGTATGGATAAATGTATCTATAGTATCTGTGCCATGTCGACTCGATTCAGATCGATATAACTACAATTAATATCTATGTGAGATTCCTCTTCTGTGTTACTTCTCATTATTTATATTAAAATGAAGTGTGTTTTTTGTGGCAATTGCAAGCATTTTTATTATTTTAACGTGTCTGACATCACATTCGCGCGCCATAAAACTAATGCTCAAATTAACGAAGCGGCTATGGATCTACAGACCTATAATATACCCGCAGAGCTGTCCACAACGGCCGCGGCAAGTTTGATGTAAGAAACAAATACCCATGTAAAATATATTGATGAACAAATGGAATATTCTCAAAAAACAATAAGCTGGATAATGCCAAAATAAATATTTGGTGAAAAAATAACAGTGAAGATTATATTTTAATTCGTTTCATTATTTCATCTATTATTGTGCTAATTTAATTAATATTATGTATAAATGATATACTTTTTCTCTAGACTGACACCTCAAGAATCATTTGGGCTTTGAACGACAAGGATCCAGAGGACATGGACGATCTGGTATATCACGGCTCATCGCGTGGGGTTCGTTCTGTGGTGCTCATTAATGGTGGTGTTCAAAAACTCATCAATATTCCCCCAGACGCAGGTTATTTTGATGTAATCATGCCAAATGTAGGTGTTTATGCTCAATCAAAGAGTATAGAATGGAAAGAGGTTCGACTCTACTGATTTTGTATGCACGCAAAAAAACGAAAATGGCAGGCGTCCTACGTATAGCAGAAAGTCTGAGCAGAAGGAAGGACGACTGTTTCGTGAGAGAATATGATCACGTTTTAAAGAAAACTAGCGTGTCAGATCTCTTTCCAGTTTGTACTCTTGTTTAATTATCAATATATGCTATTGAACCTATGAAAAAGAGATGATTATTATAAAATATAAAATATCATGTAGAAATTCAGTACCGGTACTTATAGATAGAGCTGAGCGGCCGAGAGATAATGTTCCTGTTTTTGAACTCCGGTTCGAATCCGGCCAACATCGGATAACCATAGCATGAAAAAAAAAAATAAATAAAAAAATAAAATAAAAGAAAACAGTCAGCATGCATTTAATGACCTGGTCAGAATGTTGGCTTAACGATGTAGCTGGTCGGATTCTTCACAACGCCATAATTAAAATCGGTGTGAGTTAAATGGGAGCTCCGATATAATTTGTTTTTGTCGTGATGGAATAATAAACAATAACTGGATTTGCGTCAGGAGAAACGTGTATAGGTGTAATTTTTGCTCTACCTGACGTGGAAATGTACCGAATACTCAGTACATTTGAAAACAACTGCGACAACTGTCCATCACGACAATAACAATTACTATCAACACTGCAGTACCCGCTGCTTACTTGGACTCGAATTCAACCCTGGCCATCGGGCGCAAGCTCGGTGGTCTAGAGGTATGATGCCAGGCTAGTGATCTGGAATCGTGGGTTCGAGTCCCACCCTAGAACAACTTTCGATTTTTTTCGCAGTTGTTTTCAAATGTACTGAGTATTCGGTACATTTCCACGTCAGGTAGGGCAAACATTACACCTATACATGTTTCTCCTGACGCAAATCCAGTTATTGTCTATTATTCCATCACGACAATAACAATTACTATCAACACTGCAGTAACCGCTGCTTACTTGGACTCGAATTCAACCCTGGCCATCAGGCGCAAGCTCGGTGGTCATGGTCTAGAGGTATGATGCCAGGCTAGTGATCTGGAATCGTGGGTTCGAGTCCCACCCGAGAACAACTTGCGATTTTGTTTCGCAGTTGCTTTCAAATGTACTGAGTATTAGGTACATTTCCACGTCAGGTAGGGCAAAAATTACACCTTTACTGTATATTGTTAAACATCTTTAAAGTAATTTTTAAAATAACTTGACTAAAAAGTCACAAATATAATGAAGAAACACAGAAGTAAAATACTACTTGACTTTCAGAAATGAATGTTTACAATTATATGTCATTCTAATGTAGGCCTAGGTCTCTAACTGAATTATTTTCTTACATTTTAGGTAACAGTTCCGCATGATCAAGATACAACATATATGTGCTCAACACACAGACTGCCAAAATTTGACACCAAAGTTCATATAATTCGAGTAAGCATTTTGTATACATCATAAAATGTGTAAAGGCCAACTCAGACAGCGTCGTACTACGCAGCCCGACTCGATTCATCGTCGGGGACAGTCCTGAGCCGTCGTGAGAGAAAATTTTTGATTTGATTTGATTTGATTTTCCGGGCAATATTTCAGTTGTTAAGAAAAATCTAATTTTTGTATAATGTTATAAAGATTTATAAATATAATACGGATTTGCTAGTGTAACTAAATTTAGACATTCCTAAGCATGAAAAAAATGTAAAATAAGACTGAAATTTGATTTTTTTTTTTTGTGTTCCACACAAAAAATAAATGCGGATGGATTTTTCATGTTTGATTTTGCGATAGGTCGTGCGAAGAAATATAGTAGGAGCCGAAAACATTTGCCTATCCTTACCTCGATTTAGGTTCTGTTATCACACATAAAAACGGCCGACATGATATTTTCCGTTGCTAGTATTGACACTTGAAATATAATATTTCATAGGAATTACTTCAAATTTGTTAAATAACTGATTCTGACCGAGATTTTGACACTTAAACAAACATATCTCAGCCAAACCGAACGACCGCATTGTGCGAGATGCAAAGTACAAAAACTAATCCCATTAGAGAGGGCGCACTTTATTGACTGTATAAAGTATAAGTAAAAGCGAGAGTATTCTAGTGGATGCGATCTACAACCTCTGAATTTGCCTAGTAACGAAGAATTCGTCTAAAAAATGGTAATATTCTGTGAGAAATTGTCTGTAGTTCTAATTTTTTTTTTTAAATTCTTTTGCGTAAAACTAAAATTTATGCCAATATTTTTCCATGATTTATAATAATTGGAGTAATGCATATGCATCTTTTCTAAAAAAAAAAAAAATCTGTTTTTAGTGAAATTTTGCCGAGAATGGGGCTTTAACTCACACAGACCCGACGCGACAACAAATCGCGTCGAGCTGCGTCGTACGACGACGCCGTCTGATTTGGCCTTTAAGCTCTGTCCACACTAGGCCTATCAACTTTTCTTTAACAAAAAAAAAAAAAAAAAAAGGATGATAAAAAAAAAGTATACCCGTAATATAGTCATGATGTGCTTATGGTCATGATGTGATGACATTATTATCATATTTATGTATGTTACATGCTTATGCCAACACAATTTGTATAGTCTGGACAAGGCTTTAATATAGATTGCCATGATAGAGTAGTAACAGCCGTGCGCGTAGACTGAAGTAGAATTAAGCTATGTCCACATTATGCCTATCAAGTTTTCAATGACAAAAAATATCTGTTATATGTCCATAACGGTAGTATATGGTCATTACGATGTCATATCACACCCATATTCTGTCATATGTACTACCAGCTTAACAATATCCAGATCCATATACAGGCGCAAATTGCATACAGGTTATCACATACAAATTAGTAGTGGAAAGAACTGAATATAGTATTTCCTGCTCTCATAAAAAATCAGTCTACCTAACGTTATCTGGTGTCCATCAAAATGGGTCTTGTGGTACGGCAGGTCAATTTTAGATATTCAAGAAAATAATTTAAGTGATGTTTTGACCATATTGCTTTTCAATGTTTCTGATAAGTTTAATATGTATATTACGGTACAATGGTACAGATAACAAATGTTGATTTAAACTAGTTGATTTAATTAGTTGGAAGTCTGTTTGAACACATTATTTGTGAAGCCTATTTTCAAAATTGATAGGAAAACTAACAAAAAGTGTATTAGTTGTTTATCTTTAATGGCGATTTTCTCTAAAATGTATTGTCAGACATATGAATTTGAAAACGAGTTTACACATGTTTCACTAAAAAAAAAAAAAACCTTATTTAAAAGACTAAAATAAAGACTATATAGTCATCTATCTAAATATATTAATAACTAATTTTTTTATATTTTGTGCCACAAGACTCATTTTGTCACAACAGCTCACATTTATGACGCTGGTTCACACGTGCATAATTACAAATGATTCATCCTGAAAATCGGCTGTGGTAAATAGCGTAGCGTTAGTGTTTTTTGCCTTCGTGTAACTCGTCTAAATTTTCTCTAGTGTGAACGCTTAATAACTTTGTTTGATGTTGCTTTGTTATAGTTTGAGCCTCTTGTCCAGAAGGGACATGAATATTTAGTTCATCATCTATTGCTGTTTGGGTGCTATGACGCTTTATCTACAGCAAATGCCAACTGGACGGGAGTTTGCCGACACCCAAACATGCCACCGGAACTTTACAATTGTGGCCGCATTATGTGCGGGTGGGCGATTGGCGGAAATGTAAGTCTGTTTTTTAATAGCCTACTAATTATGATAGATTCCGTTTATATAGGGCTCCATGGTAATAAGGCTTCTAAGCGCTTCACATCACTCTCGGTAATTGGATGAAACACATAGGCTTTGAAGTATAGATAATTAATTTTGTATTCATCATTCATCAACTTTAAATTTTCGACTGCTTGTTTGAATCATACATTACAAGCACTGGTAGTCTTTGGTAAACAGTCAGTCTTTGCCATTTCTGATTAAAATAAACTGAAATTGAATTAAATTAAAATTGAAATAAATTTTTTACAAAGGATTTTTTATTAAAAAAAAACACACACGAGAGTAATGATTATAACAATAAACTGTTAATAAATATATCTATCTTAAACAGTCAGTCTTTGCCATTTGTAATTAAAATAAATTGAAAATAAATTAAATTAAAATTGAAATTTAATTTTTTTCATTATAATTATAAGAAAATAATTATAAGAAAATCACACGAGAGTAATGATTATGAATCAACTGTTAGTAAATATATCTATCTTGTAGAACCCCGTATTCAATCAGCGGTCCGAGGGCCAACTCCGGCCCGCGCAACATTGCTAAAATAAATCATTTTTCGGCCGATTTTTTTTTCAGTTTATAGACACACCACCTAGGCACACATTCTCTAGCATTGTTTACAATAGTGTGGCTTTTTCAGAGTGTAGCTCACTATATTTAATGGCGTAGGTTATTTACATAGGAAGAGGGAGACTAATGGGGATAATATATTAAGTGGGGCGCTGATATGATGCGATGTCTAACCATTGTGGCAATAGCAGGCTTGGGAGCATGTTATTCTGTTGAAAACTTATTTTTGAGTCTCAAAGTGCCATTTCCAGGAATCTAGAGGTATCTATGTTAAAAAAACGTCAACCACTGGTAAATGGATATATTTGTGAATAGGAACTTTTTTAGGGGCAGGGTAGGAGAACCTGGAGTACAATTTTTTTTTTTATTTATTTATTTTTCAAAATTTTAAAATAAAATGAAGAAAAGAAAATTATATTAAAATTTAAGAGAGTGTCATTTCCGACCGCGTAGAGGTGCCATATTAATAAATTTTCTTACCTCAGCCCCAACTATGGTGGGGCTGAGGTGGTATTTTCCCCTATGTGAAAGATCTTTCCTGGCCATTTCTAATCCACTGCAATAAAGAAAATGGGTGGGGCTGACATAGAAAATAATGGAGGTACAGATTTGCTGGCCCCAAGCTTAAAAAGGTTCAATACCCGGGTTGTAGATGAATAAAAATATAATATTTGGGCCTACCTTCCATTGATTATTGTGATTGAGAAATACTGTAATCGTTGAAATTTTATACGTTTGTTCATTCGCTCGTTTCTAGACACTTGTATTTAAAAGAAACTAATATAAGCGCCTGCTTTCGGCGGCTAGTCACGACCACGCCCATACACAATTCAGCACAGCAGCCCTGCGATTTATAGTTAATTCTCCTACTTTTACCATTACGTTTATGTTAAGGTATACTTTATTTTTATTTAAGTCATTTGAGTTTCCAGAAGACGTAGGGGTATCACTTGGTGGAACAGATGATCCAACGTACTTTTTCATTGAAATGCATTACGACAACCCGACGCTTTCAACTGGTAACTAATTATTTGTATTACATATCATTATTTTTATGACTTATTTTCACTGAATATCGAGCAGTGTATACACATTACACCAGAACGGTATTATTTGAATTGGCCAAACACTATACTGTATACCTATAATCCAGGTGATAGCACAAAATTCGACAGCTCGTGGTTACATAATTATGTGCCCTCGTAGTTTTAAGAACATTATCTTTGTGTAAACGTTGATGCACCAACATAATGAAATATCCTGTTTATATTAAAAGACATTCGGTTTGTTTCACGTATTTAAAAAATTATAAAAGTAAACTATATTAAAATAATCGTTGCTTTTCACCACATGGCATGTGGCAGATTTTAATTTATGGTATTTTGGTTCTATTAAGAAGAATTGGTTGGCTTTCAGTTTCCCGAATAATATATATATATAATGTATAATTGTTTAATTTTATAGGATACCACGATAACTCTGGTTTAAGGATTTATTACACCCCGACTATAAGAAAATATGAAGCTGACACTTTGAGAACGGGCCATAGGGTTACACCGTATATGTTAATCCCGCCAAAAGAAAAAGAATTTACAGTACAAGGATTTTGCCCAGCAGATTGTACAAAAAATGTAAGTTTGATAAAAAGACAATACAAAGACTGTGTGTTCCCAAAGTTTTATAAGTTTACAAGCCATGTGGTCTAATAGAGATACAAATGCACTATAAATTCGAAAAATAATTAATACAGTTACACAAAAGTAATATGGCTTGTTGTTGAGTAAATCGAAGAGTCACACTATACCGGTAGGCCATGAGTAATGTGGAAATCACAATAAAAGAATAGCTTCTACAAGGAAAGATAATCCCCTTTAATAGTATTCGAAGAAGCTAACTGGGTATGCTCACTGTTTTGTCCAAAATGGACCATTTTGGTGGCCTTCTTTAACGTGCACAAAAGTAATGTAGTACAAAAGAACAGCTGCTAAAACAACTTTTCCAAAATAGAAACGGCTTATAGTTAACCACACAGAGAGTGTTTGTCACCATTTCTGAACAAACTCACCGTGTTGCTATATCAGAGTAGACAAACCATTTTGTAGATATCAAACCGCCTTTAAAATGACTCTATTTATTTCTTCTAATTTTGTATTTTCTAAATTTATATTTTTTATATTACAGGGGTTATCTGAGGATATTCACATAATAGCTGTCCTTCTACACGCCCATCTTGCAGGTTGGTTTTTTTTTTTGGCATGAAATTTAAAATACTTATATATCAGTTGTAGATGCGGTTGAACTATGTACTATAAGTGGCCGTACAATTGACCCGCCAATTCGAGACCACCTTTAGTAGGCCTACCTGAAAATTAGAGGTGGCATTGGGGTTCGGTCTTCACATAGAGGGTTAGGTTAGTGTTACTAGACTGAAGATTATTGTTATTTGGATCTTTGAAAAGGGTCTCGGGATAAAATTTGAATTGAAGGGGGCACTACATAGGTTTCATTGGTTTTGATATGTCTGACAATAGCTTATGTATATAATGGTTATATAATGGTTATTCGATATTACTGGTATCTACATATTTATTTTAACAATCGACACGCACGTGATAGCTAAGAAATGTTGCCTTACAGTAGAACCCCCCCCCCAAAAAAAAAAAATTAGGGTATTAATATCTATGTTGTTGTAAAAAATAACATAAAAAACAAGCAAATGATTAAAAGTGAATTTTTATGTTACATTAGCACAATTTAAGCTAAGAAATGTTGCCTTACAGTAGAACACCCCCTCCCAAAAAAAAAAATAAATAAATAAATAAATAAAAAAAAAATTGGGGTATTAAAAATACCATAAAAAACAAACAAATGTTTAAGAGTGCATTGTTAAGTTACATTAGCACAATTTGTCACAGTAGGTATACAACGTGATAGGGCTAAATTGTAAGTCTAGAGTATCGGCAAGTAGTTACCGCCAGTGGCGTATCTGGGAACCTTAAAATAGTGTGATTGTTGGGAGAGGACCGAAGGTGAAGTGGTGGAGGGGGCCTGGATATTAAATGAGAGGGGTGATAGCTCGCAAATTAAGGTGATTTTTAACTAATTAAGTGTGATTTTTTTTTTTGGAGGGAAGGCGACTTGGGTCGCTAGGTTTTTTTTTTTCTTTTTTTTTTTTTTGGGTAGAGGAGAGTGTGTCTGCAAACCACCCCTAGATACGCTACTGGTTACATACCTTGCGCTAGCTAGCACATACGGTATTAACTATAAAATTGCCTATTTCAATGATTTTTATGGCCCACTTACGGTAAGGTAACAATGTTTACTTGCTAATTTCATTTTTCACCAACGAAGCTAGGAAGATGAGTATTCAACAATACCGCAATGGAAAGCTGATTGATGATTTAGCACGAGACGATAACTATGATTTCAACCTTCAAGAGATTCGTCTGCTTCCAAAGCAAAAAACCATTAAACCAGTAGGTCTTTTTACATGTTTACCTTTAGAC